AAGAACAATACTTCCAAACTTCAGTCTTTTTTTGGCTTTTTTAATAGTTTTTACTATACCCTGTCTTACTTTTGGGGGTTTTTTTGTGTGTGTTTTTTTGGTACCAGGGATCTAACTCGGGTCCTTGTGCTTGCGCAGCAGGTGGCGAAACCACTGAGCTAAATCCCCGGCCCCCCTGTCTTATTTTTTAAAGGAGCATATGATTTTTAGTGTGGCCTTGGAAATATTATTTATTGAAATTCTGAGTTTTATATGTTAATTATACTTTACTTTCCATCAGATTAAATATATAACTTTTGGAATTTAAAAAATGTACCAATAAATGTTTTGCTAAGTAAAAAAAAGGAAATAGGGTTTTTGAGATGTAATTAAAATCTAATGAAGTCACTGGAGTAGGGTGAGCCTTTTCTGCAATACATCTGGTGTCCTTCTGAGGAGAGAGGAGCACCATATGGAGGTTCGGACTTACAGGGCTCATTGGGTGACCACAGAGGAACTAAGTGATGTCTACCAACCAAGGAATGGTTCCCGGTGATTCCTGGCCACACCAGAAGCCAAGAGAAAGTGGAACACATTCACTAAAGACTTAGGAGAGTATGATGCTGCTGATGTCTTGATTTCAGACTTCAGCCACTGGAGCTATGAGAGAAGAGATTGTTGTAAGTGCCTTGGTTTGTGGCACTCTGGTGGCAGCCATAGGAAGCTAACAACACACATTGTCTGTGTTCTGCATTTCTTTGGCATGTAAATTATTCACTCCTGGGATAGAGATGACAGTTTCATTGGGCCAGGCTGAGATGGGACTCTGGTCATTGCCCTGGGGTCAATGAGATTCCCGAGTCTCACCTGGAGGAGATGAACCCAAGTTCAAGATTAATAGTTCCAGATGCCAACAGGAGCAGGAGGCCAAATGTGGGTCCTTCATGGGGTGCTGTGCTACTGCCCAGGTCTGTGCCCATGAGAGGTGTTTGATCTGAATGTTCCCCCAAAGCCTCATGCACTCAAAGGTGGGGCTTTTGAAAGGTGATTGAATTACGGTGGCAGTAGGATGAATGTGATGTTAGGAGGCTGCGCCTGGATGGAAGAGGTAGATCTGTGGAGGCGTGGCCTGGAAGAGTATATCTGCCTTCCCAGCTCCTCCTTTGTGCTCTCCACTTCCTGTCCACCGTGCTGGGAACAGCTCTCCTCCATCAAGTCCCTTCCACCATGCTGCCCTGCCTTAAGAGTCAGCTGACTGTGGACTGAAACCTCTACAAACTGTGAGCCAAAATAAGCCTCTCCTCCTTCAACCTGTGGGTGTCAAATGTTGTATCTCAGTGAGGAGAAAAGTGACTGAGACAGCAGAATGCCAGACAGAGTCCTTGCCCTTTTAGGGTGAGGTTCAGTGCACCTGGAGGATTGGGGTTTATGGATTCTATTTCTTACTCCATAGCACTTTTGCTAGGTGTAGCATTGGAATAATGGCAGTGTGGTATTTGCGTGTGTGTGTGTGTGTGTGTGTGTGTTAAACAAATAAAGGGCTCAAATGCCATACAACTAATGATGGTGAAGTAAAGGAACACACATGGATGCAAGAGCCCAGAGGAAGGAGAGAGCATCCGCTGAGATTGTCAGGATGGGAGCATAATGGTTCTGCTGACTCTATGACAGTGAGTGAGTGTCCCGGATAAATCATCCCCCATGGAACCCTGTGTGGTGGAACCAAGTGCTCATATCTGAGGTCAAGAGTGGGGAACTCACCCCTGGAGTTGGTGGCAGAGTTGGACTTGTTAAGTCAATAAGTATTTGTTGAATTCTGGGCATTTATCATGAAAACAGACCCTGGCTGATGTCATGGGGCCTCAAATGCAAGGCCTTGTTTCTCAAATGCAGTGTCTCAATTTTATCCTAGGTAGCAGAGAGCCAACAGGCCTTCAAAAAGGCATAAATATAATGTTAAGTGAAATAAATCAGACACCCAAGCTTAAATATCACATGGCTTCTCTTATATGAGAACCCCAAAATATAAATAAAGAGCAAAATAAAAGACAGATCATAGGAAGTAGGGAGAGAGATTTTTTTGCAAATGTGAAGGAGACTAAGAGATGGAGGAGAAGGAGAGGGGATGAAAAAGAATTGAGCTGTGTCATGCACATGTTCCAGCTCCCCATGAGGACCGTGATCATTATGTGCTATAAGCAGAAATAAAAACAAAAATTGAAAAAAATCCTCAGAGATATAATATGAAACATGTTACAGAAAAATCTTTAGGGAAAAAAAATCCACAAACTCAATACCTAGTCCAACTACTACTCTAATTTCGATGTCATTTTTCCCAGTCTTTTGTCAGTCTCATATTTTTCCACATGCACGTGCAAAATAGTCTCCCACCTTCTGAATTTAAAATAAGCATTGTCAGGCTGGGATTTAGCTCAGTGGCACAGTACCTGTCTGGCAACTGTCTGGCAAGTGTGAGGTCCTGAGTTTGATCCCTGGTACCAAACAAACAAACACAAACCCCCCCCCCAACAACAACAACAACAAAAAACCCAAATAAATTAAGCATTGTCCACATTGCTAAATAATCTTTTCCTACTTACCACCCTCCTTTACATACTGGTCACAATGATGGGTCAAAACTGAATTGGGCCCATGGCTCTCCCCAGCCTGAACATTCAGGGTCTCCTGTGGTATAAGTAGTGTCCTAAAGCCAGGCGTGGTAGCCCACACCTGTCCTCTCAGCACTCAGGAGGCAGGAGGGTTGCTGTGAGTTTGAGGCCAGCATGGGTTACATAGTTCAAGGTCATCCTGGAATACACAGAGATACTCTGCCTCAAATAAATAAATCAATAACAAAACAAAAAAAATAGTGTCCTAAATCCTCAGCCTTCTTCTCACCTGCTGCCACTCCTAGCATCAAATGTTATGTTTCACAACATGGCCTTGCCACGCTTCCCTCAGTCTGTGCTGTCCCTGAAGACCCTCAGTGTCAGGACAAAGGGCTTGGTGTTCTGCTCCTGGCCACCTTCAGCCATGCTCCCGCCTCTGGGCCTTTGCTCTTCCAGGTTCTCCACTTCAGATGTCTGCATGCTTCAGACACTGTTCCTGAGTACTCTAAATTGCTGTCTGAGGTAGCAGCCCTGCCAGTTACCTGGGCCCTTTCTATTCCCCTTCCTCCACCTTGTGTTTCTGCATCAGCAGTCATCTGACCCATAGTCACCTGATTATCATCTGCCCCCTCCATGAAAATCAGCTCCATGTGATTGGGGGTTTTGTTCCTGCCCAGTGCCAAGAGCAATGCCTGACTCGTGTAGGTGCTCACTAAACACGTTTTATGTCTCTTGCCCCTGAAATGTTATGAAAGCTGCCAATGTCAAGATGGAATCACTGACAGGGGTACTATAAACAGAAAAGTTGCATTTCAAAAGAAAACTCGAATACACTTTTAATTAGATTGTAGCTGTGTTCATTGTTCTTGAATTATTAGCTACATGTAGACTAATTATTATCTACATGTAGATGAATTCTTCTAAATCTATTCACAAATAGATGCATCTGTTCACAAATGTCACCCAGTTCCCTATGGCCATTTGACTTGTTTAGTGTGTGTTAAGCTTCTGAGTGCAAGACCCATTTTGGTCAGGGTGTTTCGGAATCGTGGAAAGAAATGGAAGGAGACACAGAATTTGGGTAAAACAACAAAGGCTTTTACTTGCAAGCAGGTGGGACTGCCAGAAAACTGGTCTGGTCAGTTCCCCCCTCCCCTGGCCCTGCATTCTTTGTCCATCACCTTTTATACTTTTGTCAGTCATTATCTCATCCCTAGTGATCTTTGTTAAGTAAAGTTCTAATTTCTGTTTAATGGTTAGACACAGGTGGTTTCTGTCACTGATTACAGTCCTAAACACATGACAGTTATGACACATATATCACAAGCTTGTTTAAGGATTTTCACTTTGGTTTTTAGAGCTAAAATGTTATCTATAGTGGAGCTACAGATCAAAGGAGCTATATAACCTTCACTTTAAAAAACAAAAGCAATGGGCTAAGGCAAGCTTTTAAAGGGATACACTACCTATTTTGTTTTTACAACTACTTTAATAACTAATCTACTAAATTTACTTTAAAACTTTTCCCTATCAAGGGAACGCACTGCCCAGACTCCATTCCAGCATATGACCAGTGCTCTCCATTCTGTGTTCCTGCAGCCCCTGGCCCATACTGTGTTATTACCATTTATGGCCATGTCATCCACACTGGCTCGGGTATCAGCTCCTGAGGCCAAGAGCTGAGCAGGTGTTGGGGTCAGGCATGCAGTAGGCACCTACCCAGTGCTTGTTGGATGGGTGCATGATAACCACCAAGGTACCTGGCTGTGCAGGCCCTCTGATGACTCTGTGAAGCAGAAGCAATAGATGTCTGGTCTTCCTCAATAAAGCAGTCTCCACTGAGAAGACTAGTGCTGCAGAGGTGGTCCCTGTGGCCTTGCCTTGGCCAGTTCCATTTCTCCTGGAGAGTCACCTTTTTTCTTCAATCCATGCTCATGTATCCTGAGTGGGAGCAGATCTGCTCTTGGCAGACATCACTCCTGAAATAGCTACACCACTGTCCTATTCTCTTCTCAGGTTGCAGTAGGGGAGAATGGATAGATACACAACCCAAGCCAAAATCACCAGAGTCCTTCCCTAGAATTTTTCTAACTCAAGCCTTTTTCTCTCTGGCAACCTAAGTGTGGAAGTGTGGGCCTACAAAGGTTGGAGGCAGGGTCTCAGCTGCCCAGAGACTACTTTGTGATATTAAAGCCAACCTAAGAGCATCAAAGAAAGCTAGAGGGAGAGAATTCCAACAGCATGGGAGTTCTTGGCAGTCAGCTTCTTCTCTGATGTTCCCATTGTCATAGTCCAATAAATTTCTTCTTTTATTTGTAGCAGCTGAAATTGAATCTCTGCCACTTACAGCCAATGTTAAAACAACATGATTCTAGAGGTGAAATGACATTAGTAAGAAATTCAGCATCAGCAGGGGGCATACCTTAGGGATAGAGTATTTGACTGCAGATCAAGAGGTCCCCAGTTCAAATCTGGGTGCCCCCTAGTTTTCTCCATCCATGGATACATGGAATCCTCTTTTGGGAGGTGGTAGTAGTAGGGGTGGTGGTGAAAACAGAGAAACAATGGGAGGATCTTAAGGAGCTAGAGAAATGGATGAGGACGGTAAGCACATTCATTATGTCCACCAGAGGGAGTGATCTGATCAGATGGAAAGAAACAAAACGTTGGTCCTGCAGTGTGTGGCTTAGAGGACCAGACAGGAAGAAGACCAGTGATGGCGAGCCTTTTAGAGCTTTTAATGATACAAACAGCCCACTGTGGCACGCATGCCATAGCTTCACCACCACTGCCCTAGACCCTTCCACTGTGTGTGATGACTCAGGCTGAGCCAGCCTCCCTCTCAACCACCTGCTGCCTGCAGGTCTGGTCCCAAGCCACACAACCTTCTCTTTCCTTCCCCCATGCTGTGGGCAAAAGCAGCAAGGAAATAATTGGTCTTTGCCAGTCTGCACTTGAAGCTCAAGCTCAAAGGAGCCTGGGCCTTGGGAACAAAGACATCACCTGAAGGCCTGGGGCTAGGGTGGTGATCAGTTGTCCCTTGGCAGATACTTCACAGAGGGGACAATTCTCTGACTGTGAGCTCCTTGGGACCAAGATGGTGTCTGGGGTTCCCAGCATCTGAAGAATGCAAGGTCCAGCCGTTGACCCTTGTATCCCATCTCCTCCGGGGACCCACAGTCATACACATCTGGTCCTCTGACTGTAAGGCCCCTTCCCTGCCTCGACCTTGGCTTCCCAGGAGGAGGCCATTCTTGAGGCAGAGACAGAGTGGGCACATGGTATCTGCAGGACCAAAAGTGTAAAGAAAACACTGAGATTTTCCGGACTTTCCCAGAAGTGTTGATTTGCACATCAGCTACCTGGCCTGTGTTCTGTCCTCTGATCAGCCCTAAATTCAAATGAGCATTTCCACATCCTGCTTGGAGTACCTGGGGGCACTTAGCACAGCTATTTATGTAGGATTTACCTCCCATTCATTCATTCATTCATTCAGAAATATCTATTGAACAGTAGGTACCAAATTCAGGTTCAGGGCTGGCCATTCACTGGAAAAGTAAGGCAGGATCCCTGGTAGGAATCTGAGATGCCTTCGTGGTCATCAGTGTCACTACTGCCTCTTCGATCTTGAAGATAGTAGCTGATCTTCACATTCTATCCTCTGACCTTGTCGAGTCCTTTTTCCATTCTATTTTCCACCACCCATGTCTCCCTTATGTCTTCTGGTCCCTGCCCAGAGTGGATTCCATGGCCCAGTGCTGTCTGACAAATACTCTTAGCCGTTGGGCCCTCTCCCTGTATTCTACTCATCTGGCAGACATGCAGCCTAGGAGCCAGGTACGGTGGCACACACCTGTTACCCCAGCCTTCAGGAGGCTGAGGCAAGAGGATTGCCATGAGTTCTAGGCCAGCTTGGACTACATAAGGAAGACCGTGTCTGAAAAAAAGAAAAATTGAGTATTTAGAGAACAGAGTGCAGATGAGAACCACCTCACCTCTCCCATGAGTTCCAGCCACCCAGGCTTCATCTGTTACCCATGTCCCCCTGTCCCTCCTGAGCTAACTCTCACCCCTTGCCTCCTCCAGGACCTGCTGTGATGACATCTTTTCTTGCCTGCTTCATTTTCTCCCTCTCCTAGGACTATAATCACAGGCATACAAAGGAGCCTTGATACTGCCTGTCTTTGAAAATTCTCTTCATCCCATGAGGGCTCCAGTTTCTGCCCAATTCCTCCACTGCCCTTTCCCAGAAAAGCTGTTCAAAAGAATCATCTGTCCTTCCGGACTCCACCACCCACTCCAGTCCAGCTTTCATTTCACCTGATCTCTGGAAACAGCCTTTATCAAAGTCAACCGTGACCTATATTTCCTTAGTGTTTGGCCACACCAGAGATCAGTTCTCTCCCCTTCCCTGGTGCTGGGGCTCAAATCCAGCACCTGGAGCCTGCTTGGCAAGGGCTCCACTGCCAAGCCACACCCCAGGCCTTTTTCTTTGCTTGGCCTTTTGTACTTTGTGCAATCTGCATGTGCGGCTCAGTTAGGCTCAGACCTTCCTCGTCCTTGAGTGGTCAGAGTCCTCTAAGTCGAAGGCCCAGGTGGAGCAATGTGTGGATAGTATTTGGCAGGGCCCAGTGAAGTGCCCCACAGAAGTGTTCTTAGCACAGGTCAGCTGCTGCAGGCACAGATATTGCTGTGACCACGGGACCCTGTGCCAAGTGTGAAGACAGAAATGTGGCTGAGGAACCCAGGCACCAGGGGATGAAGTGACAGGGTGGTGTCTCCATAGAGGCAGTGATATGCACACTAGAATTAGTCAGTGAGGACAATTCAATACACATAGCTCTCAGCACTGCTGACAAATTGTTATAAACTTAAAAATAAAAATAACCCAGCATCAGCAGTCAAGGCTTTTGGATGAACTCATCATTCAGTGAAATGGTCCCTAAAACAGAAAGCACAGGGAACAACCCAAAGGACCTCTTTCTGTCTTCCTGGACAGCTTCTCACCTGGGCCTTGAAGGATGATTCTAGGGTCCAGACATAGGCAAGAGTGCTTTTCATTTATTAGTTGCTGACACAGATGTCCAGGGGTGAGTGAAAGAGATGGGTAGAGACTGACCTTAGCAAATATGGAGAGAAATGGCTAGTACCAATATGGATCTAAGAGGATGTGCAAATGCTCTGGGGACCTTTTGGGAGGTCAGTTCATCATCTTCTCGGGAGTCCTTGAGGCAAAAGATTTCCTGACACATGTTGGCTCTTCTAGAATCTACAGTTGGTGGCACTTTTCGCCAGCAGTGGAATAACTGGGTCATTTGGTAGGTGGATGTTTGACTTTTTGAGAAGCTGCCAAACTGTATTCCAAATTCCAAAGGAGTCATGGCATTTTACATTTCCACTTGAAATGCATGAGAATTCTACTTGTTCCACATCCTCACCAGCACTTGTTATGGTTAGTGTTTCTAATTTACATGTCCTACAGGATCCCAGAAGAACAGCCAAGAAAGCTAAGAGGGAAATGATCAATTAGAACATTTGCCTTGGGTAGCAACACACAAGGAGTCCAGCAAGAGCTGGTCATGGGGTGGAGGGCTGCAGCAGGCCAGAGGCAGGGGTGGCTGGTATCAGAGAGCAGGGTCAGAGGTCATGGTGGGGTGGTGCATTTTAGAGTTTGACAGTTTGGAGATGGGGTAGTTTCTAGTGCTACCAGGTCCCAGGTGTCCTTTGGAGAAATGGACCAGGGACCCGGGATGGGGGAACATGACCAGAAACTCAGGACACAGAAGAAAAGACAAACAGAGACTAAAATCTGCAGGGCCAGTGAGCCCCTCCTAGGGGCTGTACCACATGGGCCATGAGTCTGGGGAGAGGCTGTGCAAGTGTCTGAATAGACCTTAGAGAAGGACAATCAGCAGGGAAACAGGCAGGTGGGACCACGTCTTGGGAGCTGGGCAAGTGGGACAGCTGTGTGCAGGCTGAAAAACAGCAAACAGGTTGCTGGTGTCAACTTTGTAGCAGGCCTCTGGGTGCTGAGCCAGCCCCTCAGAGAACTTTTTTTTTTTTTAGCACCAGGGATTGAACTTGGGACCTTGCACTTGGGAGGCAGTTGCTGGAACCACTGAGCTAAATCCCTGGCCCCCTTCTCAGAGAATTTTGAAAGAGGCTGGAGGGGAAGGATAATGGGGAGGGTCATCAGATCCCAGGGGTGGGTGTAGACAGCGTGCAGAGTGGGCAGCTGGGATATGTGGGTTTGGATCTCAGTGCTGCCAGACTTTGTGGGCTGGAGTGACTCAGAAGTGCTGAATCCTCCAGTCTTCTCCCATGGAAGACAACTGGGTCAGGAGCTGCTAACACCCTTGCCAGGCATGAGAATGAATGTTCTACACTGGTGCCAGCAGCCATGGATGAAGGGTGAGTGAAAGGAGGCTACAGGGTTGCAGAGATTTGGGGAGAGTGGGAGAGAGATGAGCCAGAGCTCTGTGTCCCCACCCTTTCACCTTTCTCTCCAGGTGAAATGTTGGTCCCCTGAATAGTTAGGCAATTGTTGATCTGCTTTCTACCTCCTAGATTAGCTTGCATGTTCTCAGATTTTATATACATGAAACCATACCATATGTACTTTATTTTTTCGCCTAACTTCTTTCACTCAGGGTGGCTATTTGAGGTCAAGGTAGCTATTGTGTATGCCAATAAATTTATTCATTTTTCTCCATTGCCTGCCTGTGCCATGGTTTGTTTACTCTCTTACTTGCTGATAACATTTGTGTAGTGTTTAGCTTTAATAAAGGTGGTGTGAACATTTGTGCACAAGCAGAGGGATATGAGCTTTTGTTTCTCTTGGGTAAATACTTAGCTATGGACTAGCTAGGTCATCTAGTAGGTAGGTGTTTAACTTTTTGAGAAACTTCCAGACTATATTCCAAAGAGGCCATGGCATTTTACATTTCCACTTGCAATGCATGAGAATTCTAGTTGTTCCACATCCTCAGCAGCACTTGATATGGTTAGTGTTTCTAATTTACATTCTGATATCATGTAGTGGTATCTCATTGTGGTTTTAATTTGTATTTCCCTAATTGCTAATGATGTTGACCATACCTTTATGTGCTTTTTACCATCATATATATTCTTTGGTGAAGTGCTTGTTCAGATCTTTTGTCCATTTAAAAATCTAGGTTGTCTTCTTATGACTGAGTCTTGAGAGTTTTTTACATGCTATGGACTCAATCCCTGTAACTTGCAAATGTTTTCCCTTAGTCTGTACAGTAACTTTCAAAGAGCATATGTTCCTAATTTTGACAAAGTCCATTTTATCAGTTGAGCTTTTAATGTCATATCTAAGACATTTTCGCCTAACTCAGAATCATACTCCCAACTTTCAACCTCAGAAAGAATTCTGATTTTCTGAGGCCATTGGGAATTTATAAGATGTGATATGTTAAATACAACTATTTCTGTCTCACATGATGATGATGCAAAAATTG